GAAACATCATGCCCCATATGATGGGGGCACTTTGGGAAGAGGTTAAAAAAGTCAGTTTTTTGACTTTTTAATTTTTTTAGTAAAAAAAGTCAATTTTTTTTACCTAAAAAACCTAACTTTTTATCAAAAAAGTTACTAAAAAAAGTTAAAAATTAATTTTTTACCAACTTCTTAAAACACCACGATGTATACATACCATCGAATAATTTCTCAGCTTGATAGCAACTGAAAGGTGTCCACTTATCAGAGGACGGCTAATTGGGTGTTGCTTTGTGGTTTCTGGAGTCGCACGCACTGTACAAGTCCCTTCTCGTCCGGCAACACCCCACCACCAGATTCTAGACACGTGTCGCATTCTTGTGTCTCTGATCACAACTACCACCCGATGTCTTGCACTTACATTGGGCAGGAGATCACGTTGTGGGGTGGGGTCCTATACTCGCGAAGGTTCCACATTTGACCACTCCTTCAGATCGTATCATAGGTACGGCACCAATGTGGGGTCCACCACTAACGAGAAATTATTAGTTAATATTAGAGTATGAGTCCGGATTCTCGACCGCTCTATCTGGCAGCCGTTTCCAGCAGTCCCCAAAACGACGTCGTTTTGGGGGCAAATTTTCAAAAAAAAAAAAAAGCAGAGAAAGAGAGGGAGGAAGGAGAGGAAGAGAAAAACAAAAAATCTCCAAAACGACGTCGTTTTGGGGGGCTGCCGGGTAGGGCGGCCGAGGATCCGAATTCGTTAGAGTATGATTGATTACGTGAAATTTCAAGATGTTGTAGTTGATAATGAAAATAAAATTTATGAATTTATATTTGATAATTAAGAAATATTAAAAATATAATAAATTGTAATTAATGTGAGACATGATCACGTGATGTTTTAAAACCAACTAATAATTTTTCGATTGTAACATCAGAGGATGGCCATTAGATTTTGATTTGTCGGAAATCTAAAGGGCTCAACGTATGAGCTGTGATGCACCGCCGATTCACTGGGTCCCCTCCCCAACCATAGCCACGTGAAATCCCAGCCGGCTATCCATGAATCGGCTTAATCGCAATAATCGCTTAAGATTGTGAAATGACAAAATCTACCCCTTTTATATCTTGTTTCAGCTTTTAACTCCCTCAAACATTTGAGAATGGCTCATTTTCATACTACTATTTTTTATATTTTTTTGGAATCTCATTCTGGATCTACAGTGATGATCCGACTTGTTTATTTATTTTTATTTTTGATATTTAGTTAATTTTAAAAAAAATCACAAATATATACTTTTTAAGTGTATTTATGTTAAGTGTAACCAAAAAATTTAAAAAATTGTTTAAAATATTTTAAAAATCAGTGAAAATAAAAAAAAATACAGAAAACAAAAAAATAAAATTGTAAAAAAAGTGAATTCAGAAAACTGAAACAAAATAGAGTGAATGGTATACAGGGAAACCATTCCGTATTCTTCCATATTATTGTGAAATGATAAAAGCTACCACTTGCTATATATCTTATTTGGGTATGGACTAATCGAAAAAGGACCCAAAAGTGAGCTCAATGGGTCGGACTAGACCTTCCAGTTCAAATGGTAAGCAGAGGCAAGCCACTGCCATCTTGGGTCTGGACTGCCTTCTGTCTAGATCTGGGACAGTCCAATCCAGTTCAGCCAATTGGGTTCACTTTTAGACTTCTTTTTGATAATCTGAATCGTCACATTTTAGGGTTTGTTGAGTACATCATTCCTATAAAAAATCACGTTGATCGGATAACAGATACTATATATTCGAATCACTTTTGTCTGGAAAAAAATGAAGGTTAGAAAATTAACGATTCATAAAAAATGACCCAAATACATAATATCCGTTATCTGATCAACGTGATTTTTTACAAGAATAAGGTACTCAACAAATTTTAAAATGTGAACGATTCAAATCATCAAAAAATGACCCAAAAGTAAGTCTAATGAGTCAAACTAGACCCTCCAATTCAAATGGTAAACTGGAGACAAACCATGCCATCTTGTTTTAACTTTTAAACCCTTTATTCTTTCATATTTATTATAGTTTTCCCTATTTATTTTTCTTTTGAAAACACAAAAAAGCAAAAATATCAACAAAATAAAATTCAATAATTCCCTAAATCATATAAGACTAAGTTGCTATTACGCATTACTATTTTCGTGATAAATGTTATATAATTTTTTTGATAAAGTGATGATAACTTGTGATTGTCATAATTCTATTAGAATATTACATTGATTACAAAAAATCGTAGTAAGGTGCATATAATATATAGGAGGAGGATTCCTTCCGGTTTAGATTTTGTACTAGAGGGCACTATTTGAGCCCATATGGCCTACTATGAGTCCTGTTTCTATAATTCGAATCGCTTATTTTGTTAGATATTTTCTGTATTTCATCCATACAAAAAATTAGGTCGATCCGATAATTGTAATTTACTCAATTTATCGCGTTTTTAACAAAAAAAAATTGTTGGACAAAATGAGTAGTTCGAATCATTGAAACCGGACCCATAGTGGGCCTTATGAGCCCAAACAACGCTCTCCAACCCAAAATTTAGATTGGAGGGGATCCTCCTAATACATACTATATAAATGAATGTGTGCTAAAAGAGTCCCAATAACTTATTATTAGGGTTGTTATGCCCGTTATAGAATACCAAGTGAATTCTTATTTAAATGTCTTTTCTACATGTTATACTTACAAATCAGTAATGTTAAAAATACATAATTAAAATACTTAAAATACAATAATAGATTGAGATTTATTTTATGAATCCCTTCATAACTAAGTTTAATTTCAATCTTTCACTACATTTTTCTCACATCATTGCATATTTTTAGCATTTTTGCCTACGCATACAAATATTTTGTTGGAATTGTATGCAAACCTAACAATGATTTCTCTTTGGCATTACTTAATGCGAGGAACAGCACAGGACCAACTTTGTAGAGAAATTTCAATCACTTGCTTTTATATAACTCACTCGAAAACATATACATAGCTCCAAAATGCCAAAAAAATCTCCCCCATAAAAATAATTTGTATGATTTGCATATTTGTGTAATATTTTTCCTTGCAAAACTTAAATAATCTTCTCCATAAAAATATTTTTATTAAGATTTGACTTGATATTAATTTTTCTCTAAACTCTGATCAAATAAAACCTACCCTAACTACAGATATGTTAAAAAGGCAACTTTTTTGAAACTAAAGTTTGAGATGCTTTTTTTAGCTAACTTTAAAAAAATAAAAGTAAATAAAAAAATTACAAATAGGTTTTCCCAAACAATACCCTCTTATGGGCAGTGGTCCACACAATCTAATGTTTCCCGTTTTATTACAACTATTGTAGATATCTGCAATCCAAGGGAATTTACCAATATTCTACATCTTTTGAAAGCATTTTTAGGAAGTCTTTTATTATTATCCATGGAATTTGATAGTCTTTTATCAAATAAAAGATTGGGCAGTATTAATTTTATTTGGACAAATTATATGCGTAGTTCTTATACTTTTGTCCTTTTGCTATTTGCATTCATATAATTTTATTTTACTTGAATTTGACCTTGAATTTATACTCTTGTCTCAATTTGATTATGTATGTTTTTTTATTAAAAAAAATAAAAAAAATGCACATGTGAACTTAATATTATACTTTTAGAGATAAAATTAGGGCGAATTACACTAACAGTCTCTATAGTTTGGGACTCGTGTCATTTTGATTTTTGACTTTTCAATTGTGACACATTTGATCCTAAATTTTGAATCTTGTTCTAAGTAAGGACAATTAAAGATAACATTGCTCAATTTCAGGGGCAAAGTCGTCAATTTGATAAAATATAAACTAATTTGACAAAAATAAATGTCAAAAAAATATTTTTAAATTTTTAAAAATTATTTCTACACACCAAAGATAAATTATGTAAAATTGATAAATCTTTTGCACATTTTTTTGTTTATTTTATCAAATTAATTTTTAGTAATGGGCGGTTATTTTTATTTTTATTAAATTAGTTTCTATTTTTTCAAAAGTCATATATGGAGACAACTTTGATATCATTATTAAACCAATTCATTAAATCAAAAAATTTAAAACTAAAAACATTTCATATATTATATCGATTACACATTAAAAGCCTGACAACCATCTATTACATGGCTATCATCTAAACACATAATAAAAATTAATTTAGTAAAATAAATAAATAAATAAATGTGTAAAAGATTTATCAATTTTACATAATTTTATTTTTGATGGGTAGAAATAATTTTTAAAAATTCAAAAATATTTTTTTGACATTTATTTTTGTCAAATTAGTTTATATTTTTATCAAATTGACGATTTTTGCCCAGGAAATTGAGCAATGATATATTCAATTATTCTTATTTGGAACAAGATTCAAAATTCAGGATCAAATGTGTCACAGTTAAAAAGTTATGGACTAAAGGTACAAAAGTCTCAAACTATAGAGACTGTTAGTGTAATTTACTCATAAAATTATAAATTTACTCAACTCTGTAAGTTAACCCACAGCTCGACAATCATTTTTTGTTAGAAAATCTTACTCAACAATATCAATTAGATAGAATTGACATAAAATTTTTGATCAAATTGACACAATTTAAAATTAAAAGTTACATACGAATTGTTTCTTTCTTTAGTAGTGCTAAATCGTTTCTTTCTTTGGTAGTGCTGGGAGACCCAAATATATCCTCCCTACTTGACCATCATATTAAAAATGTAGAGATAAAATTGACACAAAAAATAAAAGGTAAAGATTACCTATGTAATTTGCCTTTTTCATTTTTACTTATCATCAAACGATAAATGGATCTAAGATTAGGACAAGCCCTGCAAAAACCAATTTGGCAAACTTACTTTCAATAACAGATTTGTCTCTATCCACATATCCCGTAACTCCAACTCTCCTCTCTCCCTATATATACACATACACTTCACCACCCCACTCCTCCTACTCCTACCCTTCCATTCACTTGATCACTCACTCTAGCCTTCACCATATCCACTCCTTTCACAATTCACCTCCAAAACTATACCTTGTCACTGCAACATCTTAAGTTCACTCATAGAGAGAGAGAGAGAGAGAGAGAGAGAGAGAGTTGCAGCATTTTATGGAGACTATGCCTAGTTTTATATGCATATTGCTATTTCTCTCTATTCTCCTCTCATATTTCTATTCAAAGAAACAAAAGAAGAACAAACAAAAACAAAAAATGCTTCCCCCAGGATCAATGGGGTGGCCTTATATAGGAGAGAGTCTCCAACTCTACTCTCAAGACCCAAATGACTTCTTTGCTAAAAAGCAAAGAAGGTATAGTAAAATAAACCACTAAACCCTATCTCTTCAAATTCTTCTCTCATCACATCCTTTGCTTTCTTCTCATGAATTGTAACATTTTGGTGTGATTTCAGATATGGGGACATTTTCAAAACCCACATCCTCGGCTGCCCTTGTGTCATGTTGGCTAGCCCAGAGGCTGCTCGGTTTGTCTTGGTGACTCAAGCTCACTTGTTCAAGCCTACATACCCCAAAAGCAAAGAGAAGTTGATCGGTCCTTCCGCCCTGTTTTTCCACCAAGGGGACTATCATACTCACCTGAGGAAGTTGGTTCAGAGTTCGTTGTCTCCAAAAGCAATCAGAAAATTGATCCCTGATATGGAAGAAATGGCCATTTCTGCCATGGAGTCATGGGCTAGAGAGCAAGTCATCAATACCTACCATGAGATGAAGAAGGTTTGGTTCTGTTTGGCATTTTTATCACAAACATGACTTGTATTGTATGTGAAACTCATGCTCTTTTTTAGTCCTTTTTGCCTTATCTAAAATTGATTCATCACACGGGGTTGTGTATTATATTGTACTCTTCCATATCGGCCACAGATACTTTGTCCCAAAAGTGCCTTATCCCCTAAGTCCCAATTTATTTGCAATCATTAGGTTATGTGAGAATCTGTGACTTACAAGAATCTCAAGATATAATCAATGGACTGTGAATATATTAGGACAAATAAATAAAATTTTTGAGATAGAGGATTCTCAGCGTTCCATAACTACTTCAGGCATAGTTTGGGAAGTTAGTTTTGGTGGGTTAGGGGCTAAAATAGCCATAAAAAACAAAATAGACTATTTTAATTACAAAAAACAAAACATCAAATCCAATTCATAATCATTGCACTCCTCTCTCACAAAAAAAGTCAAAAAACTAAAAAGCCCTTCCCAAACCAGGCTTTTTAGTCCCAGGTTAAAATAGTCAAAAATTTAAAAAATTAAAAATTCAACCCACTTCCCAAACGGAGGCTCACTAGCTTTCTTAGACTTTCTTTTTTGTGGGTTTTCTTAGATTTTTTTCTCCTTTCACCCAACCTGCAAAAGTCCGCCAAACTCAGCACTTGGATTTAAGTCTCGAGATTTTCGCCTATGAAAAATGAGTCAGATCCCCTTTGTGGAGGACCCTCACAACCCCCTTACTGATCTACACCATTCATGATGTGTGGGGCCCATTCATGTCTGTGTGGGGTCCACATCATGAATGGTGTGGATCACAAAAGGGGTTGTGGGGTCCTCCACAAAGGGGTTCTCTATCATTACTGTTTCGCCTATCCCCGGACCCTTTTTTTTATTATTATTATAATACAAATGGATTCTATGAATCCTCTACAGTTTGCTTTCGAAGTCGGCATTCTCTCAGTGTTTGGTCGCTTGGATGAAAAATACAAGGGAGAGCTCAAGAAGAACTATTGCATAGTGGACAAGGGTTACAATTCTTTCCCAACCAACTTACCAGGAACTGCATATAACAAAGCAATCTTGGTAAGCCAAGTTCTACTACTTTGTCAACTTTCTTCCATTAACTAGCCTTTTAACTGACTGTTTCTCCAAATCTTCTCTCCAAAAGGCTCGGAAAAAGCTCAACCAGATACTAACTGAGATCATCTGTGAGAGGAAGGAGAAAAGACTACTGGAGAGGGATCTCTTGGGGCATTTCCTGAACTTCAAAGATGAGAAAGGGAAGACGTTAACTGAGGATCAAATCACGGATAACATCATTGGGGTTCTATTTGCTGCGCAAGATACAACAGCAAGTGCCCTAACATGGATTCTCAAGTACCTCCATGATGACCACGAACTTCTAGAGGCTGTTGAGGTAATAATTCTTTGGAGGTTCCTATCTCTCTGTTTGTTTTGGCAGAAAAAAAAAATGTTAAACACGTTTTCTGTGAGAAATGTTTTTCACAAGCTGTATTTGGTGGTGTGGGGTAGCATGATGGTGTTGGTAGCGATAAGATTTTAATTTGGAAACAGTTTTCCCCCTTTAAAACCAGAAAACATTTTCTGTCATACCAAGCGTCAAAATATGCAGAAAATGTCATTCTTTGGAAACAAACAGAGTGTACAAAGTTATGACTCTTAACAGGACTTGGTATTCTTAGAAACTATAATGATTTTTCTTGCTGCAGGCAGAGCAAATGGCGATATATGAATCGAATGGTTTTGGAAACAAGTCATTGACATGGGCTCAGACTAGAAATATGCCACTTACATATATGGTATGTGTTCTTATACTCTTTTTTGTGTTTGATCACAAGCATATGTATATTCATGGAAGAATTAATGTCTTACAAACCATATCGTAATTACAATTTTCAGGTAATATTAGAGAGCTTGAGGATGGCAAGCATCATATCTTTCACCTTCCGGGAAGCAGTGGTAGACATAGAATACGAAGGTAAGGTTTAATTGTGTTTTCATTTTCTGGAAAACAAAGAGAACTTGTTTGGCAAACTATTTTCTCGACAATTTTTTGAAAACACAACCAAACATTGTGTTTGGTTTGTGTTTTGAGTTGAATTTTTTTTAAAAAAAAATTGAGGAGAGAGTTTAGAAATTTTTTTAATTTGTTTGGTTGTATACTTCGAAAATAGTTTTGGAGTTTGAGAGTTTAGGATGATTTTGATATTTTATTATAGTTAAGTAAATATGTGTGAGAGAAAAAGTGATTGAGAATGAGAGAAAAGAGAAAAAAAGTAATTGATTGATATGCAATAGAGAGAGAGAGAGAGAAATAATTTTAGAATTTTTTTGAAAAAAATTGTAACCAAACATATTTTTGAAAATTTTCTTCCAAAAACATGTTTCAAAAGACAAACCAAACATAGGTGTTTTCCGAACTTTTTAATTATTTTTCTTTTCCAAAACACAACCAAACAAGCTTTTATGGATCTAAATTAAGAAGATTGAGTATAACATTATGGGACCGGTAACCTTGACAGGATATTTAATTCCAAAAGGATGGAAAGTGCTGCCATTGTTCAGGAACATTCATCACAACCCTGAATTCTTCCCTGATCCTAAACATTTTGATCCATCAAGGTTTGAGGTATGTGAAAATAAAGCTTCAAAGTCTTCATTAGCTTTTGGCTCTTAATGGTGTGTTTGGTTGAGAGATTTAGAGAGGGATTTGAAAAGGGAAAGGGAAAAAGTGTGTGAAACTATGTGAAATATATACATATTTTATTCACATTTCACCTACCTTTTCCATTTCCCTTTCCAAATCCCTCCCCAAATCCCCCAACCAAACACAACGTAAAGGTTTTTAATTTAGTAATGATATACAAACATAATTTTTATGCTGAATTAATGTGTTGAATGATGACGTGGCTTTTTGTAAATTGTTTTCTTTTTTATTTTTATTTTGTGTGGTTGTGGTGGATTTAGGTTGCTCCAAAACCAAATACATTTATACCATTTGGGAATGGAGTACATGCTTGTCCAGGGAATGAGCTTGCCAAATTGGAGATGCTTATTGTGGTCCACCATCTTGTTACCAAGTTCAGGTATATGAAAATGACATCCAAAATTTTCTTATGCTTACAAAAAAAGGAAAAGAAGAATTGAATATCCTCAGAATAATCTTTACCACAGGACACACTCATAAAATAAAAATTAAATTAAAAATTCTAAACGAGCTTTTAATAAGTCTATATACACATAATTAAACTATATAAAGAAAAGTATCAAAAAAGTATGTGTCATATGGTGAGAGCTATCTCCAAGTAAAAATGATAAGGATATTAGCGGATGATAATACTTTTGATAGATCTTACCGCAATAACATGTATATTATGAGAATATTATATGTGAATTAATTTTGTGCACGTATACCAACTCTTTCTCAATAAAATTCTGATCAGAAAGGAAAATATTTTTAAAAAAATGACTTAGTGAATGAGACCTTATTAAAATGGAATCTGGAGTAACAAGATACACGCAACTTATTCATATTTTTTAAAAATGATTTTTATGGGCAAGCTTTTGGGAGGATATATTCATCAAATAGTACAAAAATAACAATACCACATATTCAAAACAAAACCAAACAAAAATACTCATTATGGATATACTCATATCCCATTAATTTTAAATTTATATCACACATTAATTTTCTGAATAAAATTGAAATAATTTTGATAGTGCATAAATTTTTTGGTGAAAAAATATTCTCACAATTTTTATTTTTTTTATTTTTTCAGATGGGAAGTGGTGGGTCAACAAAGGGGGATTGAGTATGGTCCATTTCCTGTCCCTCAGCAAGGACTACCAGCCAAGTTCTGGAAAGAAGTGTTCAACCACCAGATCTGATGTTTCTGGGATTAACTAGAAATATGTTATTCTTATCAATTATTATTAACCAGAGACATTGAATTAATATATGCTTTTTGAAACATAACAACACAACCATAACATTCCTTTGTTATTTTTCCAACTGCATTATTAATTTCATGTCTCTGTTAGTAAAGATTTTTGTGTTTTTAAGATTTGCATGGGAGAATATGATTTACTCTCGATCATCTTCTATTTTCTTAACATCTCTAATCTAATTATCCTATATTTTGTGAGTGTTTTCTTTTTCAATAATGTTATGATGACTACACTAATATTAGTAGTGTTTTAATTCAAGTTTGTTAACTAATGCTTTTAAAACACTTGCCAACAATAATAATTTTTTCCACTTCTTAAAGTAACAACTCAATATGTCAACATAATACCCTTAAATTAATAAAAACAGTATTTTGGAGATGAGTAAAATTGATCTGACTCACCTTAATTGACTGAGTGAAATAAATGTTGACTCTATATTCACCTTCTTTTACATGAGATCTCACTGATCTTATCGCGTGCATATCATTGAATTCCCTCCCGTTTGCTTGAATCACTGACTTAAGATGGACTCTTAATTATAAAAATAAAATTTACAAAAAAATAAAAAAAAATATGCATAAAATTACTTCATGTGGAGGCCATCAGAAGTGGCCTTAGAAGTGCCACGTGGTAGCTGTATGATTGGCCAGGTAGAAAGGAACATATCCTTGGCTGAAGTGCACCCACCCTGAAGTACACAAAAAGTTGGTTAATATTTTGTCAGGGTTTGGAGAGGGACCAATATATATACCAAAGCACACCACAATTGTAGCCATGCCCATTGCCCCAAGCTCTCACGCCAACCCTTTTCCTGTTAGTTCACAAATTATTCCAAAACTTACATTATTAAGAAATGAGTTATATATCAAGTTAATCCTCTCGCTCTCACGTGTGAGACGATCGCACGTGGAGAGGAAGCAATTCAACTAGTGAACAAGGTTCACGAACACCGAAAAAAAAAAAAAGACAAAAAATGCACAATTATAGCTTTAACTTTTGGAAAATGCTAGAGGTCCCAAATTTTCTACCAAATAAATGATCAAATGTCTCACATGGGTGTGGGGCCCACAAAATTGCGGACCCCACGCCCATGTGAGACATTTGGTTATTTATTTGGTAGAAAATTTGGTGTCCTTAGCATTACCCTTAACTTTTTGATCGTAAGAATATTGGAATTCTTATAGCATGTTACATCAATAATTATTCTAAAACTAAGCTTTTAAAAATAATGAACCCAACAAGGTAACAATTCCAACCAATAATGTCCATTTTTCATGGGATTTTCTCAAAGTCCAAACCATAGAAAAGCTTCAGGTACAGAGGTGGAAAATTAGTTTGAAAATGGCAAGAGAATCATTGGTAAGCATATAGAAGCCCCCACATTCCTGAGATTTCATCCAGTAAACAAATTGAAAAGAAAGTTACAAAGTTTGAATTTTTTTTTTTTTTTGATAACGCAGGTATCCCCAACCCTCTAGTTTTTCGGGAAGTCAAGACTAATCCTGCAGAGTAAGTAGCCCGGGGGAAGCCGTGTACCCCTTTCAAACTGCTGCAAACACTCACCTAGTGGGGAATCGAACCCGTGACATTGAATTCAATAATAAAAGAAAATTTATCCACACATCTGTTTGGAGCATGTCATCAAACGACATGTAAGCATGTTCAAATTTTGTGAAAGATTTTGGTGGTCAACTAGTAGTTGAAACGTAGCAAATTCCGGCAAATAAAGGTGGTGTAATTCATAATATAGTTGTTTTATGTTGAATTTTGTTTACATTTAAACACTCAAAATAAAAATAAAAAAAAATAAAGTGGCCAATATTCAAACTCATACTTTAAAGGGCAAATTACATATACACCCCTCCAGGTTTGACAAAATTACAGATACCCCCCTGAGGTTTCGGAAATTACATCCCGCCCCCTGAGGTTTGTATTTTCATAACAATTTACCCCCTGAGGTTTATATTTTATAACAAATTACCCCCTAATTTCTTATGCAAATATAGCATTCAGGGGGGAATTCGTAATTTCTCAAACCTCAGGGGGGTATCTGTAATTTTGTCAAATCTGGAGGGGTGTATATGTAATTTGCCCTACTTTGAACTTAGGGGCCTTTCTACTCAATTTTTTTGATGTATGCGTATAATGTGATGGATAGAATGAATTTATTTGATGTGAATAGATCACATGGTTCCATTTGAAAGATATTTGTTTGTGAGATTGTAATTCCCTTTGAAAGATCAATTGGATTTGCAAATGGATCTTTTGATCTTTTTCAAGCATCAAGCATTTATGGTGGTGTGCTATTGGCAATAAGAAATAATTAGATCTAAAATGCATATAGAGATGTTGAATTAAGTTTAAAGTGGGACTAATTTCAAATTCATGATTAATGATTAATTTCAAGTTTTTATTCAAATTCAAATTCAAATTCATGACTTAATTTCAAGTTTCTATTTACTTATAGAAGTTGTGTTTGAAAACTACCAGTTTCATGGATAGTTTGAAGATGACAAGAGAATCATTGGTAAGCACATAGAAGCCCCCACATTCCTGAGATTTCATCTAGTAAACAAATTGAAAAGAAAGTTACAAAGTTTGAATTGAATTCAATAATAAAAGAAAATTTATCCACACATCTGTTTGGAGCATGTCATCAAACGACATGTGAGCATGTTCAAATTTTGTGAAAGATTTTGGTGGTCAACTAGTAGTTGAAACGTAGCAAATTCTGGAAAATAAAGGTGGTGTAATTCATGATATAGTTGTTTTATGTTGAATTTTGTTCACATTTAAACACTCAAAAAAAATAATAATAAATAAGGTGGCCAATATTCAAACTCATACTTTAAATTTTGTGGCCATTTGGGAACGTGGGTTAAAAGTCAAAAGCTAGCTTTTAACCCATTTTGTGTAAATCAGTTTAAAAAAAAAAAAAGTATACTAGATTTTTTTTAAAATCTTTTGAACATTTTTTAGAATCTTTTTAAAAAATTTAAATTTTCAATTCATTTTGTTAAGTAAAAATTTAAAAATCTATAGTTTTTTTTTTTAAAAAAAAGAAAATTACTAAAAATAAAAATTAGTCAAAAAAATCAACAATAAAAAAACCAAACACCCACTAAATTTTTAGGTATGGATTTGTAACATGTAACCTCATATATGATCTATATTGATTGGTTTGTGAATAAATTATTTTAATAAATTTTTGATTTTTTCATTAAAATATAATGTAAAAAAATTTAATATGTTTGATATATTTTTAATTTTTTTATGAAAAATGTGCAAAAAATAAAACAGAAAGAAAATTTTTGATTTTTTTACATAATTATTATTAAATTTTTTTTAACCTTTTTAATGACTTGTTGTTTGGGGTGTCCTAAATAAGTGCACTTTTTATCTTTTTGGACTAAAAAGTTGAGGGAAAAAATATGAATGTTTGGGTTAACTTTTTGACTTTTTATGAAAAAAATGTGCATTAAAAAATTGTATAAATTACGTAATTTTTTACTTTTGATAAATAGTGATAATTTTTTAACTTTTTGAGTAGTTTTTTGACTTTTTAACTTTTTTTCAACTTGCCAAACTTGACCTTGTATTATTTTTTTGAATTTCCCAAAGTTACCGGATATTTACATCGGGGCATTCCTTTTTTGGGCTTTAACATTGGATTGGAGAAGAATTTTATTATACGTTTCTTATCAGATCATGGGCAAACTTTAGTTATGTCATTTTTTTCACATTATTTTGAGACGCTTATAAGTTTTTCCCAACATTCGAATTTGGGGGGTTACGGAAGAGCATTTTTTTAATTTTTTTTGGTTAAAATAGCATTAAAAATTAAAAAAATTAATAAGATAAAATCTCATATCAAATTTATAATTATTTCATTTTTTTTTTTCACAAATATCACATCTAACTACAAAAAAAAAAAAATCTAACTATCTTTCCAAACATAAAAATTTTAACTTCCTAAAATAATCAAAAACTAAAATAACTACTTGCTAAACACTAACTTTTGTTTTTCTTCGTTGTCTTTCGCTTTTTCATTCCTTTTTCTCCCACATTAACAGCAACAAACACAAAATCAACAAAGATCTCAACCTCCCACATTCTCTCTCTCTCTCTCTCTCTCTCTCTCTCTCTCTCTCTTTTTGTGTGTGCTTCCTCACTATGTATCTACACTCTCTCTCTTCATCGCAGTCGAACTCAGATTAGGGTGATGTTTTGTTTGTTGTGGCTAAAATAGCCTATTTTGTCTTTTGTGGCTAAAATAGCCAAAAAAGCCCATAAACTCACTTCCCAAACGGGTTTGTTTTTCTTCGTTGTCTTTCGCTTTTTCATTCCTTTTTCTCCCACATTAACAGCAACAAACACAAAATCAACAAAGATCTCAATCTCCCACATTCATTCTCTCTCTCTCTCTCTCTCTCTCTCTCTCTCTCTCTCTCTCTCTCTGTGCTTCCTCACTCTGTATCTGCACTCTCTCTCTTCATCGCAGTCGAACTCAGATTAGGGAAAAATTCATGTAAATGCGTGCAATTTGAATGTGGAATTGCTGATTTTGTAAGCGGAGATCGAATTTATTTATTAATGGCTTCGTTGATTGTTGAATCGCTCTGAATTGGATGTTCCAAGTTTTAAGTATTTAATGGACTTGATCTGGACCAACAATGGCGTCCCAAGCCCTTGCCATTTCATGTGTGCGATTTGCTTCGCTTTTGGTTTCGTCGCCGCCAGGTTCTTCCTCGACAGATTCATCTTTCGTGTAATATTCTTGCTTTCTATCTATGTTGTCTTCGCCATTCTCTCTTTATAATCTTCTACAGCATTTTAATTTTGAAAATTGAAACTTTTCTTCAACGTAGCTAGCTATCTATGGAGAGTCTGGATCCTCTCCAGCTCTTCTCTCCAGCCATCAGCCATCGCTCCGGTCAACGGTTGAGATTTAACCACGTCACCTAACTCAAAATTTGTGGCTAAGATTAGTTTAAAAAAAAAAAAAAAACTCATTTACATCCTACCACTCACTCACACTCAATCACTCACGTTTTCTCTCTCTCTCTTTGACATCTCACCACTCATTCTTTTATTTTATTTTCATAATATATATATAATTTTTAATACAAAATTTTAACTTTATAAATTTAATATCATTAAAAATATACCTTTAAAATAAGACTAATATTAAATATCATTAA